TGAGATAGACTCCAACTGTCTTCACGTCTTAGCTGGCTTCAACTTGTCTCCGGCTATCGGCTATCCATGGCCGATTGCACATGAAAAAGGCACCTCCTTATCATCCGCATTTTTAACATTTTAGCCCGTCTTCGCGCATCTCCATCTCCAATCTCCAAAAAATCTCCATCTTAATAATAGCATCCCTCCCCATCTTATGATCTCATCCTTCGTTCTGGTCTCCTGCAGCTGTAACTCCCATCGCCAGCCAAGCGCTTCACCCATCCACATCGGCATCTCTGACCCTCCTCCGCATCCGTCTTCCGTCGCCCAAATTCTCCCTTCACCGACCATCCCATCGAAACTCACTCGCGGCGCCCCATAAATACGTCCCATCACACGCACGACCTGACACAAGCGAAAATAAACCATCGTCTCGTCCGGCTCGTGACTTCTTCTCAAACCCGCCGGCCGACGACTGCTCATCATCCTCCATCCCATCGTCACATCCCGCGGGTATTTCGGGGTATCTGCCTATCACTCGCACCTCTTCTTAAAGTAAGTATGTAATAATATGTAATCTGCATCAAGTTTGAACTGCAGCAGATCCCGGCCGTGGTTGGGTTAGAAAAGAAAAGTCTTGACTCTTTCTCGCTTTAGTTAGCTGGAAGTTTAGCTAAGAAATGTCGTCCGTAGAGTTCGTTTTTTTTCCTTTTAGCGTGGATGTGCCTTCGAGAAAGTCTTAAACGGGCGGCCGCGGGGAGAAACTTCGTAACTTCCTCTCGTCCATGACCACAGCCATGTCCCTGTCCCCTTGTCAGCCCCCGGCCCTTGTCGTATCCATCGAAGCATATATACTTCCTGTACCCTTAGCCCATGTCCATGAAGAGCGAAAAGGAAGAAGCAAAGCCAAGTATCCATGACCATGACCATGTCCATGTCCATCCCGTCCGCCCATCCACCAGAGCATTAGAATCTGTGAAGTATCTGCATGGAATGTTCGTTGGCATCTAGCGTGGAGTTCGTTTGAGGGGGGGAGGGAGAGGGAGGGGACCTTTAGCTAGTGAGTTATTTGACCTTGACTTGGCGGCTAAGAGGTTGAAGGCTGGTTCGGTGGTTCATGGGCTCGTGTTTGTTCCTGAGTGAGCACCCGCTGTTGCTTGGTTGTTGCCTGGTTGTTGCTTGCCTGTTGCCTGTTGCCTGTTGCCTGCCGCTCGCGTGGTGGACATGCTTCATGGCTGGCTCGAGACGGACGCAGGATCTTCCCAGGCGTAGGCGTGGCGTCGGGATGGTCGTCGTTGGGCGTATCTAAGTTAGCTTAAAGTAGAAGTCTGGCGGTGGTTGATGGCGATGGA